CTTGACATGATCAGCAGCTACCTTCAGCTATTTATTTCAAGAGAAACCAATTAACTATTTATCAGACATGCATTACTTCCCTAAAAAAACCCCAAACAAAAACTCCACCTACCTCTTCATTTCATGATGCAAGAAGACATGGAGCTACATCCATGCACCCTGAGCCAACCATTCTCCAAACCCATGTTAGTCAGTGCAATCAATCTGTTCATCACTTGGACACCTTTCAGTCACCAATTCCAAACAGGATTTAAACCATCAAGCAGAAACCTTGATTTAAAACAACGATTTTAACCTTGATTTGCATTTGTATTTATTTTCATTGAAGATCATTAGGTTTCATTAATTGGGATAGCCATTAAAATAGTGGAGATCTGCAGGCAATCATCCCTGTCAAAAGAATCCTAACTCAATAAAAATAAGGAACGTTAATAAAATGAAATGAAAAATTTATGTTTCGTCACTATTCTGATTCTTTTTCCCCTCAAGATTTGGGGCAGAACATGTGGCTGCAAATTAGAGTTAAATGAAAAATGACAAAGCTACCTTAGACATACAGGGCAAATGATATGTTTCAAATTTAAGATTCATTAAATAAATCGGTAGCTGTTTCCAGTGGATTAGATCTCTTGGTTCCAAAGCCCTAAAAATGACTGGCTTTGCTCAAAGCATTGCTATTTTAGAACCAAAGGCTTAAGTAATTCTTCTTGTGTTGCTGTTCAGCATCTCATTTACATGAAGGGAGTTTAGACACCAATCCTGCTTAGATATACACCACTGAAAATATTTTGCCTTTATGTCTTTTGTCACCTGAATGTTATTTAAATTTTGGTCCCAGGGTACAAGCTACTCTCCCCCTCCATCTATTTCTTAACATCTTATCGGAGGGGAAAAAAATCCCTAAATCTTTTGTGGGGTTTTTTGGTTCTCAGTGAAGTAATATAAACCCAAACAGTTCTTTTGTGGGGTTTTTTGGTTCTCAGTGAAGTAATATAAACCCAAACAGTTCTTTTGTGGGGTTTTTTGGTTCTCAGTGAAGTAATATAAAACCAAACAGTTATTTACGTGTATTTATTAACTAAAATCAGTATTTTACAGAAAAGCATTCTTGCATAAAAAGGAGAAATCTAAATGCCATCATTCGCTCCACTGTAAAGAGATTGGTACTTAAAAGTATTACAAGATATTTTGGCATCCCAAAAGTTTAAGCCGATATTAAATGTCAAAGGTGTTTCTCAAATTTAGCAAAACATTAAAATAGTGGAATTCTTTAACTGTATGAAATGTGAAGTTTCAGTGAGAACAGGTTTTCAATAAATCATAGAAAAACAGAAATATTAATTCTTTTGTTTTCTAAATACTTCAAAAAATACTAAATTTTTAGTTTTAGAATTGGACAAACTAATACTGGTAACAGCAAACCTGAAGACACCCATTCAGATTTTCTTAATCATTTAGCGTTTGCTATTTACTTCTGTGGAACAAGAACCCAAAAGGTGTTTTAATTTTCCTTTTTCTGAAAGAGGAAGGACCTCAGTTATTCACAAGAGTCACAGCAACTTCTTGCTCTTTTAGGCTTTATTTTTGCAAGTTCCCCAGAAATGTACAAAAAATTGCAAACAATCAAGACTTCTGTTCTTAAATCACTTTGTCTCTTTACAAAATTCCAGACAAAGCACATGAGCTAAAAATCCCAATTTCTTTTAGCATTCATCCTAGGAAAAAGCCTCTCTTGAAACTTTTCAGTGAGTATGATGTCAAAAAGCCACTGGAAGTTGGTTCACTGATCTGGCTTCCTGTCCATTTGAACGCCTAATGGTGGGGGGAGGGGGGAACCTTTTTTATTTTGCACTTGATCAAACATCACAGTCCATGTCTCAAGGCAATGAAAAAGATGCTTAAGATGAGTCAACAGCCACCTACAATTTAACCCTCAATAAAAGTCTATTTTTGGCAGAAGGTTCACCTTCCTTTAAAATTCTGTAAGCAGGAGTTAAAACCATTTCTTAAACTTCCTTTAAATGCTGTCCATAATGAGGATTAAATCTTTTCATAACTGTAGCAAAGCCATTTATGTTCACTGAGGGTTTGAATTCTTCAAATGACTGATTTTAGACAGGCAAGCAGCAGATAGAAAAGCCAATTTCCTCTTAGAATTTAAGCAAGACCTTGTCCATCTCCTTGAGTAACTTGTCTCTATTTTTCCAACCAGTGGCAGGAAATCTTCATTTCTACAGCTGATGTCTATACTCTTGATCTCCACATGCCTCATCCTCACCACAACACACTTTGAGCATCCTTCTAGGATTAAAAAAATGTACTGCTTCCCTGAGTGCACAATAAGGCACTGCATTTTTATCATTTCCAGCCTTGTAAATGGCAGGTCATTAGAGAACAGCCTCCTTGAAAAAACAGGATACAATATTCATGTACTTTGTTAGAGGAGACAGATCTATTTTTTATGGTGATCAACTAAGGCAAGAAAGCCTTTCATTTCATTAAAATAAGACACTAAGGATGAAGTAGCCTTAAAACAAAATACCTTCAAGTGTAGCAGCTAAATTTGAGCAGAGGGCTACAAGCCCACACTCGGGACTGTCAAAAGCAGAAAGGGGCACTAGGGAAACTGGCAATGGGCAAGGAATTCTGACAGAAAGGAGTTGTACAAACCTCATACATCCTTCCTGGAGATCCAAGACCAGCATGAAAGAGTAGAGTAAGAGCGCGAGATCAACTTTTGACAGCTTCCATGCTGAAGCACTGCCTTCAATCAGGATCAGTTTATGTAACCCATCTCCCCAGTCAATACAACAGTACACTCAAATTACTTCCTTCCCACCCTGACTGCTCACTGTCCTCATTCTTGCTTAGCTTGTTTTCTCCTACTACAACTTGCAGTCCAAGGCTAAACTCCTTGATTGTCTGCAGCAACACAAGATGACTTCTTATGATGACAGTAACTTTCTCAGCACAGCTGTGTCCACAGGGGGGTTACAGAAGAGAAAGATGGTGCAACAGTCCCACAGGTATTTGCTTCCAGAAGACTATTCAAATTCCGATTAGGGTGTGAACTAGAAATGTGTGTCCCATTCCATCACACCCCCCTCACCCACCCAGGAATAGGGATGGTGAGCAGATGTTGTTGATTCAGATTAAGATGTTGTGTCGAAGCTATATAATTAAGCTTATGCAATGACACCTATACCATGCCTTGCTCTAAGAGAGCTGCTGCACTTCCACACTTCTACCAATACCTTTAAAGTTACCCCAAAACAGATAACATCACAGCAGCAGACAGATCACCTGCTGTTAGCAGGTTGGCAAGATACCTCCCCAAAACTGAACCAAAGTTCCCAGCTATTTCCACAAACATATATTGATAAATGACATAGGTAGGAAAATAAATCCTGCTATTTACTTAGCACTTTTTATTGTAAGAACTACGATGTTCGTTTTAAGGCTCAGTGACAAATCCCGTTTGGTACATCATCACCTTATTAAAAACCTGTCACACATGCAGAGAATGCCAAGTTATATTAAGTATGCTGTTAACTTGACAAAATACAGCCTGCTGCTTTCCACCTGACTAACGCTGCAGCAAAGATGGCACATTTTCAAGGGGTGGGAAACAGACACCCTCTCCTTTCCTCACCAAGGCTCCAGATCCAGTTGAAACTCTAAACACAGTAAAAATAGGTAAGGTGTCTCAGCCACAAAGGCAACACATCAGAAACCCAGCCATAACACTCTGCTCCAGGTCCACCTACATACATCAGTTATTGGGATGTGACTGCCACCCAACTGCAGTAAGTAAAAGAAATGGAAACAGTCATTTAAAATCCTCCATTTATCCAGATATGAAAGCAAGGCTAGACTGATGCTGAACAAGAAGGCAGTTCAAAAGCAAACCAAAGGATCCCTCAAAGTGACAGATATTGATAAAGGCAGAAATTACAACTTTTTGTCCAGGAATCAAAAGGAGCACAAAATTCTTTTGCACAGAAGGCAAAGATCTGACAGCATTGCCAGTGCACTGTGTAGTTCATGCCAATGCATTCACACATGGTATTGGTGGTTTCAGCCATCAACAAAAGACTGGGAATAATAAAGGAATGCCAGAGTCAGAGCTTTAATCATCTTGGGAGTATATTAATATCATCACTTGAGCATTTTCACTTGTGCCATTGGAGGGCAGGTGTAGAAACCCAGTGTTATCTCCAATAATTAAAATACCCTTCAAAGAGAAACCTTTGCCTGACATTTTAGAGAATGAAGGTTTCAGCTATACACTAAAAGCACGTCAATGCCGCTTTCTACTCAGTAGGCTTCTTTGGAAGACGCAACAAATCCAGGATCTTCTGTTTGGATTCCAGTATGACTGTTACTCTAAGCATCAGTACAGAAAGTGAAATTTACCTTTTGTCTCTCTACATGTATGAGTGCTTATACTCATACATGTAGTTCATATAGTCTTGCTATCTACGAAGTCCAGTTAATTAATCCTTTGGTTTATACTCGTCCACCTATTTCAGGAAACAACTTCAGCAAATAGATATACTCTTTGCTTGTTCATTGAAGGGTTTTTTAATGTGAAGAGAAACAGAAGCTTTTGATTAACCACATGTGACTGCTTAACTACATTAAAATCAACTGGATTTTCAGTAGTTTCTAAGCTGTTCACGCTTTCCTAAAAAAAAAAGCCTCATTGCTCAAGTCTTCAAACAGTTCATCCAATAAAGCTGATGTCGTATACCAGGTATTATGGACACATCTCTCAGCTGCAGCTGAAAGCTGGCAAGATTAATCTCCTTTTGCCCAACATCCCAAGCCTTGCAGGAAAACAAAACCAAAAAGAACGAATAACCTCAGGTCTTGACAAGCAAAGCTTCTTCCATTGGTCTGATTCAAAACATAAATGTTACGTTGTTTTCAACATAGAAGTCTCATTTATGCACCATGAAACAATGATGAAAAAAGTATGATGCAGTCTTCTTAAACAGTCACCCAAAATATAAAGAAAGCATACAGAAGCTTGATGGAAAATCCAGAAATAGTCCAGGGCAGTGCTTGGGTATCACTAAAGATTTAAGGACTACTGGGGATTATGTGGCCAGCCACAAACTGTCTCATAAGAGGTCATGACAGTGTTCTCTGCTGCTAAGATGAGTGAACAGACTGCCATTCCCCATTAGAGGTTTGTCTATGGATTTAAAAAAAAAAAAAAAAAAGGACCAAGGAAGAGCATACAGTCATGCAGCTGATCGCCGACGAATCACAAAAACACCTCGCTGCAGCTGTCCCAGATAGATTCTCATCTTTGTGCTGTCACTGGTTTTCCTCACCCAGATCTGCATGAAAGAAAAAGAGAAAGGGGCAGGGAGATATATTGGGGGGAAAAAGGGAAAACCCACAGTAAGCAATACATGGACTTAAAGTAAGTCCACGTGTTCTTATTGCCGGATCTGAACATCTCTGTTATTCAGTGTAGACAGATGATTTAGCTTAAGCCTTTCTCCCTCCCCACATTAAGCATTTGCAACCTGAGTAGAAAACGAAATAAGGTTTCTAACTTTACCACCCTAACTTCCTGCTCAAAACAGTCATCAAGAAAAATTACTCTTTCCAAGCATCATCAGGAAAGCAAGTTTCCTTCTGCTACAGTTCGCAACAGAACTCTAGCATTAAGCTTTACCTAATCAAGAATAAGTCTCTCTAGATCCACAGATCATAAAATTATCTATCCTGGGATTTGCCCAGACAAGTAACTATTAGTCAAATGAAAAATTTATTCTGATTTTGTTCAGTGAAGCATTTCTCACAATGTATTAAATAAATTGTATCTGAAGATAAAAGGGCCTCTTCTTTAAAAGACCTGCATGGAAGAATTCACATAACTTGCTGATATACAGTATGTTTCAAAGGACAGATTGCTTCCATGGAGGCAGCCACTCAGAATTTTTAAAAAATAAAAATCACTTTCAAGAAGTTTAGACTCAAATACCTGTACTTTAAAAATCAAATCTGAGCAAAACTCCTGCATTTTATCATTCTAATGCATGTGAACATATTTAAATAAATGCATGGAAAATAAGAGTTATCCAGCTCTTAGTACTAGAGTATTTTAGGACACAAGTCCAATATCGCCTACTGCAAAGGACTATAAAGTTAGTGTTGGCATGCAATTTATGCAAAAACTTTTTTTTTTTTTTTAGATACCATATTAACTACAGGCCTGGTACAATGGATTGATTTAACTCTATTATTTTAATTATAAATTTACTTCACTAGCAGAAGCCCTCAATATAAAATAAGTATTTGCCTGCATTTGTACTGCAGTCATTTCTCTGGAGAAATTAGAATCCACCTTCATTGATAATCATCTCTCCACTGCAACATTTCCAAGAATTTGGTGTATTTTAGTAATCAAAAGAATTCTTAACTCTACAAACTCTGAGCAACTGTACAGAACAGCAAATATGCACAGTTTTACATTCTATCACAATATGATGGAATGGTGTATTTATTTTGCTAAACTTAACCGCTTTGTTAAGTTCCATTTGGAGGAAAATTAAAATTCAGTTTTAAGTGACCACAACAGTTAAATGACTTATTAACACTAAAATGTGCCACAGAGTTCAGACAAATAAAAGCATCAAGACATATTCTGAACTTAAAACTGATGTTTTAGACATACAATATATTTTGCAATCAGAAGATAACATCTCTTAATTCTAAAGAAGATTGTGAATAGAAACAACCAAATCCATCTCTGAATTTCTTTTATTCCTAGACTGCAGAAGAAAAACAAGCTTCCTCCTGTTTTTAACTACCAAACTGAGATTGCTGAATAAACTCATGGGAATAAAAACAAAACAGAAAAACCCCAACTTTCCTGCATGTACTGAAGAGTTTATTGTTGTCAAAAGGCAAATGACTGAATTGGTTCCATGCACCTGGCCAATGATTTCCACCTATGCAGTATTTGATTCACAGTTTCCAAGGAAATCACATCAGAAGTAATAGAAATATATTCCATTTAGATCTAAACACATCACCAAGTTTTCAAGAATTCGGGCCTGGAAAGATAGGTTTAGTTTGTTTTTTCAAGGGGGATCATCATAGCTCAGACTCTGTGTTCGAGAGGCCCACAGCCAATTACAAAATTCAAATTCAGTTTAAGAAAACTGATTTAGACCTTCGTATGAACAAAGATGCCTCTGATACACTGTTAACTACTTCCTTTCCACAACTACAAGAAGGCAACTGTATGCCATAATATCTCTGATGTTTCTTAGTTAAGTCTTTTCACTTTGAGCATTAATGGAAATGCTGGTGGGAAGACACTCCGTGCAAATATTTTTGGTCAAGTTCCTTTGAACAACTTGACTTCCTTTAGAAATGCTATCAACTTTTGCCTCGAGCCTACAATTTAGAAATGCTATCAACTTTTGCCTTGAGCCTACAATTAGAGACCTCAAATCCAGGTCTGCCTTCTAGCTTCTACATTCAAGCAGGACCCAGTAAGATCATAGTTTGGCAACCATGCTTTTGAATGTGTGATGAAATCCTAGACGTACACATTGTACTCCTAAGAGAACACCTTCTCATTTCAGTATTCTGTTAAGTATTTATCTCCCTTGGCTTTATACTGTTGCAATGAACCATCACAGGGCAAACAACTGCCATGCCTCCTCCCCAGCCTCTCAAAAAACCCCCACAAAACTAAAACAAAACCTATTGTCTCACTGTAAAGTGGAATTCATACCATTGTAATTAACGGATTGCATTTCCTTCAGGTTTCAGGTAAGATGCTCCCCAAAAGATTGAGTTTCAATGTTTTAAGTTAACAGTAGTAACTTTAATCAAATTAGCAGTACTATATTTTTAACGCAGCCGTTAGCACACTACTACTACTTCTTTATCTAAATAACCAACTGTTGAGCGTAACAACTGTTACTGCAAGGAGAACAGTTGTGATACAAAGCATATCCCATATGCAACTCATTTTGTTGAAAATAAAATATTTTCCCTTAGCTGCCAAAACAAATTAAAGTTACTTTATTGGCTGATTGAAGAGAAGTGCATTCAAGTCTGTCATTTCTTTCCTTGAAGTGTCTGGAATCTGCAAGCAAAGAATAAACTGCTCCCTTTGCCCAACTGATGCACTGCTCAAGCACTAAGTTTATTTTGCAGCAAGATTCACATCAATCTTAGGCACACACCTCTCTTCACCTGCTTCTCTAAGCCTTAATCATTAGCCACAAGGAAATTGCTTCAGACAAATGACTCACCTGCCCTATCTCCCAAGTAGGTGATGAATGCTGCCATCTTACTTCACAACACATGTACTCAGGCTAGCAGGAAGAATTTTCTCCCCTTATAGCAACTAAATTTGGTGACAAAAATTTTTCCTCATCCTCTTCTGGATTCCCAGTGGGTGGTTGGGGTTTTTTTGTTTGTTTGTTTTTTTACATTTTGCATTAATAATAACTGTATGTATGTTCTTGAAATAATGGAAACAGAACTTAGGAATGTAGTGCCAGTGAGATGTAACATGTCGGTTCTCCTCATTTTTCCTGCCTGCCAAACTACTACTTGCAAAATGTAGGATCATTCTTTAGGAACACAGTAAGTCTCTTCCCACCTCAGATCTATCTCAAGAAGAGATCTCTCAACTCAGTTTTATCTTGGATTCAGCTTCTTTAGACACCAAACAAGCACATATTTTCTGAAAGTAATACTGATCTTCTCTTAGTCCTTACTAGACAGCCATCTGCCTGCCTACACTGACCCATGGCTTTCCCCACCCCCACGAAAAACAAAGCAGCCCACTACCTCATTGGCACCCACAGAACTGATCACACAGCTGATCTTAGTGTTCTCTTTGGATTCCAGGTAAATAGCCTGGCTCTTGTGGTACCTGCAAAAATTAAAAAAGAAACACATGAAACCATTTGCTGTCCAAAGACTGAGAAAAGAAACAGTAGCAAGATTGATAAAACTAGGATTCTACAGTCATTTGGATAGAGTAAATATGAAGTCTGTCTTTCTTTCCACACTACTCTCCCCATCTTCACCAATATAGCGGGTGGTCTGATTCTACACAGACACAACTTTGCATTTAAATGATGCTTCAGAATGCATGAAGCTTGCTCTCAATTCACATTCAATTCTGTACGCAGATTTCACATCTGAAAGAGGGGAAGAGCACCAAGCCACAAGATAGGAGAACACCGACTGACAATAAGCCCATGTTTCAAGAGTTAATCAAACTAGCCTTTCACATTTCAGACACAGGATAGATTTTAGAAGGCTACTCCATATTATGCCTGATAAAATGTGACAGAGAAAATCACAGATACCAAAAAGTTACTCACATTCCCAATACAAAATTATTAGTGCACCACCACCAACAAAAGTGAACTGTACTCAATCAGTGCAGTCTATGTATTGTTTAAACAGAGACCTCAAATTTCTAATACTGTCTTATTCTGTGAAAATACCCCAAATGATGGGTAACTACTCTGTAAGAAGCTGTATAGTATATACCTGCCATAAGGAGGCTATGTCTAAGCATATCCATTTTTCCCCCCCTTTTAGATCATATTTTAGTCACAGTATATATTTTTCTTATGAATTTTGAAGTTTTTACTTTGTTTTATACAAAATGCACTAACTCTGAATTGCTTGATTTCATGGTCTTGCCTTCTTTGCAGACCATGTTTCTGGTAAATGCTGCAAAGTGTGCTAGACAAGACTCCCCAGTTTCTGTTTATCCTGCCTAGGAGAGTTCTGTAGACAGAACTAATTATACTGAAACAGATTATTTGTAAGTAAATAATCTTAATCAAGAGAGCACCAACATGCTTTGTAGTTATAAAAGCATAACTATATTTCCACCTTTACCCTAATCATGTGCTTCATGTTTAACTGGCCAATCCAAGTTGCAGAATCACTGCACAGAGATTCCCTCAGCAACTACTCAGTATGCAACTCCCAGCAGTCTGATTGGCTGACAGCCATTTGTCAAAATGCATGGATTTGCATAATCTTTAGTTATTTCTACAATAACCATACTGTAAATATGGAAGTCTTCCAATAGTTTATTCCATAATCTCTTCCTACTGGCTCATGTACTCAGAACTTTCACACTGCTCGCCATTAACAAGAACGATAGTATCAGCTTTCCAAACATACTAATTACCAACAGGCTGGGTGAGGTAATAAAAAAAACCCTCAAATTCTGCAACCTTTAGACACTTGTGCCCAACCATTACTCTTTCTCCCTCATTTTAACAGAAAGGATGTCAGTGGATTCAGAGCAATGTAATAGCAGCAATGATCTGAGCCAAAAATCTGTTTACTGAGCTCAGATGACCATTAATTGATACAAAGAAAACAGTATAAGCTACTACAAACCAGACCTCACTAAGATAAGACATAAAAATCTCAGTCCAGCAGTGTCCTACCATGCCATGCTGTGACTGCTTAAGCAAGAGAATTGATGATCTTGATACAATCGGTGCACAAGCTTCCGTGTGCAGAAGATACCACTGCAAATGACAGTTCTCAAGTGGTGTTTGTGCCTGCACAGATAATGAAATAATTCTTCCACTCAAAGGTGTTTCTTCCATTTTTTGATTATCAGTGAACTCCAAAGCTAATGACACACATGAAGTTACTGTCCATCAGTAAATCTATGTTAACTGCACACAGAAAAGGCAAGGTAACAAGTTAGTTCAGCACTTTTTCACTGAATAGTTGTCTGAACTGTCTCATGCTCCCCGCACGCAGGGAGACAGGTCAACTGAAGGCACAGTAGCCCGGTACATCTCAGTTACATGTCCATGTCTCAGCCTTTCATGGAGTTTACATACCCACACAGGGGAAAAGAGGGGTAGAACTGAGGAAAATACTTCAGATGAAAAATGCAATGGAATTTAAATTGGCTTTCAAGAGACCAAAAGTGCCAAACATCTCTTGCTTTTGCAGTAGGTAAAATACACCACAATACTGACAAGTGAGGCAAGCAGAAATAATTTCACTTTCTACTACAAAATATTTTGCTGAAAGGCCAAGATTTTCAACCGCATCTCCATCAGAAGATTGAAAGAAATCACTCTGCATTATTGTATGCAGACAACGCTAAAAGCAAAAAGACGGTTGTTTTACAGTGAACTGTATTTTAGGATCTGACAGGGGGCGGCATGGAATGAATTGACTGAGGTTAAAAAACTGAAGTCGAATTCCACATGCATCTGAAACTCCCTATACAAGGTCTCCACTTTGGAAATAAGTTTGTGAAATGTCTCTGCAAGACCTTAGGGAGTCCATTACTGGCCTTAAACATTCACTATTTTGAGATAATGGTCCTTCACAGCTGCTGTCAGGAAACAGAGAAAGTAGTCACTCGTGAGCTGTCAATTTTATTATTTCTGGTGCATGCCAGCAGCTACAGCCTTAATACACCTTAGAAAAAATTACCCTCCCACTATGAAGAGTTACTTCATTATTTTAAAATACTAGCTACTTTGCACAAGTACTATTAGTATCAATCAAAAAATCTAAGCAGGATTATTACAGCCAAAAATTGTAAAATACTTATGTTAAAACAGCGTAAGAAGAAGGAAGACAGGAAAGGCAACAGCTGGAATTCCTGACAGTAAGACCCCCATGACAATTGAATTCAGCAAGATGAAAATATCTGTTAACGGTTTATGCCCCAACTAGATGCCTTTCAGACAGAGCTGATGCTTTCGAGAGTTTCATCTGGGCTCAATGAAGCTCTCCCAGATTTAAGTTTGGGAGATGAGAGATTTACTGACAGATTACTCCAGATTCCATCTTTTTTTTTTTTTTTTTTTTTTAAAAAAAACTTATGCAACACTTCACAGTCCACATGCTTAAAAATTCTGAAGAACAGGTTCTTCATCCAAATATATCCTAGAGGATAGTCACTTTACACAAAAAAAAAAAACCAAACCAAAAAAACCTTCATGAATTTGTGAAGTGACAAGTAGCCTGTTCAGTTCATGTCTGCTTCATGGTTCACAGAAGTTTAAGCTCCAGGCAGCAGCTTTTATCAGAGCTGTATACACTGAACCCCCAATGAAACTTCACTGTTAGAAGACTAGCAGAAGGAAAAACTGATCAACCGTGCAAGATGGCTGTTGCGTAGAAAACAAGCTTCACACCTATCATTTTCCATGATAAAATTACAACCTCGTCACTTGTTATTTTGAGCCACCAGAGCAAACTAGACTACAAATAAGCATACGGCTTGCAAATTGCTTTCTGCTCAAGGAGTACTAGATTGTCCCCTTGATTATCCAGCTTTGCATGTCTCAGATTAAGTTTAAGACCTGCTAAGATTTCTCTGCAAAATTTAATATTTTCCTTGCGTTTTGTGAGGCTTGCACAGCTACATGCCCATAAAACTTAAGAGCTAAATCCAATCAGCAATTCTGAAGTTGTTTCTCCCATGTGGGTTTGATCTTTAAAGGTTATTTGGATTTATTAGAAACATTTTTCATTCTGCTCATCTGGTGCACAACATTTCTTCTGCCACCTTGTGGAACGATGGGCTAGTGTTCGACAAAACTGAACACCAGGACTGTGAATACTGCCAACAGCACTGTGCCGGCAATCAGAGTATCCGCTTCCTAGCTGACCGACTTTATAGCTACATCACACTGCGTATGCTAGTGGCTCTCTTTTTTAACATTAGGTTTGACAAAAATGTTTCTCAAGTGTCACAGTGTGCAATACCGACTCCATGGAAAAGATCTAAGTCTCCTTTTATTCAAGCCAGTAGTTACTCCTGAAAGTCTATGAAGTCCAAACACTCCATTATCACTTCTGATTTACTGAAGTTGCAATGATTAGCCCTTGGAGGAAGTGGCTAACCTCTGCCCAAAAACATTTTGTCATCAATCTTTTATCAAAGCAATTTCTCTCTGTAGTCTTTGTCTCCTCACTACACAAGGCTCAGACCGATTAAAACAGAAATTTACCAGGACTTACCATCTCTTATCATAGTAGAGTTTTCCATCTTCTATCCGGGCTTCAAACCGCTGTGCTGGAGACTCTGCTGGTGTAGCTGGAAGGTGCTCGGGAGAGGAGGGAGAGGCTGAGAACAGGAGAGAGACTGTGTTTAAGACCAGCATGTGTCCACCACACTGTAGCACATCTGACTGAAGAATTACAGTTAATAAGGTCATATAAAGCAGAAATAATAAGCACAGAAAGCCACAAACTCAACTTTCCATCAGAAAAATATTTGCTACTGGGACGAATAATTCAATCGCTGCCTTGAGTATATAAATTATAATATTCACTGAAATATAACATTTATCTAAAAAAAAATGTTGATAGGTAGGTGATAGACAATATGTCCTTGTTTTTCTTTTAATTCTAATCTATAGTAAAGTTGTTAAATAGGGTCAGAATTACTTAGGCAAGTTAGTACCACTCTGTCTTAAAATAAAGTGTACAGATACATCCAGAGAGCTGAAGGCATAAAGCTGTAAGTTCTCAATCCCTCCATCTACCTGACAAGCAGGCAAGCTGCCCAGATGCATCTGAATATAATGGAAAAACCTCTTTACACAGTTACATAATCCCATGCCCAAATGTTTCAGCCAAAGATGCATACGCCTCCCTTCCCATCCCTGAAACTTCAGAACAGATGAAGAAACTGCACACAGCACCCATTCGCCACAGTAGCTACACAAAGAACAGCAATTACACAGTCAAAACAATTATACAGTCAAATTACACAATCAGCAATTGTACAGTGAAAATGTCTACAACATAATTCTCTGTTCAAAACAGCATGTCTGCGAACAAGTTCCAATGCAACTGTTAACTTACCTGGTCTCTTGGGTGATTTAAGCTACATGGAAAAAGAGCAAAGAAGCATTAGAGATCTGACACGAGCCATAGAATTCTCCAGTAATAATTTCAGACAGTCTTACTTTCCATACTCTGGTATGGAATTTTTTTTTTTTTAAATGTACTGTTAAGTGGCATAACACATAACCAGAACAGCGTGCTATAAACAGCCAGAGGTGTAGAGAATCAGTATCACGATACAAAAGGTCTACAAACTGAACTTCAGAGCATTCACATAATCCACTAAAACAAGTCAAAAGCAAATCCATCTAACACAGTGTATTTTTGAACATGATCCAACATTTCTCAGGGTACATGAAATACAGGAGATAAATCATTACAGACACCTCAACAGCTGGCACAAAAAACATGCTCAACTACCATCCTCAAAGGCCTTACTGAGCAGCCTCTGTTACAAGAAATTAGATAAGCCTTGAAGTGTTTAGTCAGAAAGCAACAGGTTCCTCAAATCTAGAAAAACTATAAATGTACACACTGCACCCTATCCAGTTTGCTGAAGTATCAGGACAGTGGGGAGGGGAAAAAAAAAAAAAAACAACCCACTCTAAACCACCCCACCCCACACAAAGGCCTAAAACAGAGGCAGCCTGTGATCTCACAGAAAGATGTGTTAACATCTGTTCAGCCATGTGGAGGAAGAAAGAAACTCCTTAAGATAGCTCATCACTTGGTTCAGACAAAAGGTAACATTTTTAGATGACAGTCATTTTAATTAGGTTAATTAAACCTACTAAAATAAAAGGGAGGAGGTAACATCTTGCTGAATCTTTTATTGTGTTACTTCAGAAAGCCTACTGGGATGAAACAGTCCCACATCTCAAAACAGAACATAAAACAGAGCACTCTGTTCTCTTCAGGGGAAAGCATTAGCTTTCTCTTAAAGAGAAAGAAACACAAATCAAGCAATAATCCCTACCTTATTCAGTGTTCTCAGGTCCTCCATTATTTGCTCATCAGTCAACAAATAATTCAGCTGAGGTATCCAGAATTAAGGTTCCCATAAGCTCTTGACAATCAAGGCTAAAAATTAAAGGTCAGTGGCATTTCACTTGACTAAACTTAGTCAAAAGGTTTCTGTAAAGTTGCGTAAGATTTTAATAAGCGTCATACTTGAGCTTTTTTTGTCATATAAATTAATACAAGTTCATCTTCACAGAGACTCACATTTAGCAGCAAACAGTGCAAAATCATTTTAATTTATTCAGACATAATCATCAATGAAAAACCTTTACTGCATTGACATTTACTTCATGGAGGCAACAAGCACTAGCGTTTTCAGTGTTTTTCATCTTGTGTTTCTGTAGAGAACAATCAGGGAGCTGAAACACAACAGACTCCCTTCAGATTTTGTACAACAAAGCCAAATCCCACCCAAACCGAGGAAAAGAAACTCATTATTTTGCAACTCAGTAAGCAGGAATAGAGAGAGAGAGAGAAGAGGGGAAAGCCCCACAAAAAAATCTCCGCTATCATTTTGCACAGTTTCACAACCGCACCTTCCCACTTCCCTTTTGTACTGTTCCTCTGTCATTTCAACACAAGAAAAACCTAAGTACACAGAAGGAAAAGAATACCCAAAGCAGTGTGCCCCCTCTCCAGCTTTAATGCACAGTGTTTCTTCAAAACAGTTGTTAAGTCACAAGTATTTCAAGTATTAAGCTAAAGTTAAGAATTGCTAGGCTGCATTTTAAGGATTTTGGTTCTGATGGACTTTAATCCCCTACACAATGAGGAAAGGCAGACAGTTTCATACTGTGGCTGCTGTATCATGTTCAATTAGTAGGTCATGCTCACTATGAAACTCATTTATTTTGGATGAGATAGGGGCACTAATAAATAGATTTTTTTCCTGAAAGAGTGAACAGAATCTCCAACCAGAAAGAGGTTAATTAAAACTGAAGATGCTTATGACCATCCCACATGAACTCCATAAGTTCAAGATTTGATATTGCCTTGAGAAAATGTGAGTCACTCGGAAGTCGTAAGGTAAGGTTTTTTAATCTGATTTAAGCTGTACAAGTTTGGAATCTAATAATAAGCCTCTGCAAAGCAAATATCATTGCCTTCCTTTCCAGGTGAATTTAATATACAAATAGAAAAAGTGCCTATCATCACAGAGGAGCTGAAAACGTATTTCCAGAAGCAAAGGAATATTTTAATTATAAGAAACGTGCAGCAAGGCAGAACAGAAGGATTATATATATATATGTTTTTCTCTCTCATGATATATACAAACAAGATGGATTTTTCTTTTAATTCAAAGAACAAATCTAGCACTCTTTGCTTTTGCTATGCATCTCTCTGGATTAGAGATCTGAAGCCTTTATCAGAAATGGAAAAACTAGTTTGATATGACAAATATTGTCTTTCTGGCAAATGTTTTGTCACATCTTGAAATGAGAAAAGCTTTGGCTCATGTAAAAAGCCATTTACTATCTATGGAATCAATTACCTCAGCATTTATATGTAAAGTTCTTTTAAAGTTTTTCCTTTGTGAAAAATATTGCCTGAAGAATTCAAACTATTCTCACCAACCAAAAAAAAAAAAAAAGTTATCTCACAACACCGTGAAGTTTAAGTTAGGATACTGAGGGATCTCCAAAGACCGGTTGTGTTATATTAGTTTATCACACATTATACATGACAAATTGTACTTCAGTATTTCCTAGATTAAGACCTGATCCTAGCACCTCACTTCATTTTCCTTCCTGTACAAAACAACACAGATACAGGTAGCACGCTGGCCTCAAATACAATAGTCCTCCAAGGACTCTGTAAAAGGATATCAGGGGCAGGTTTCCTCCTCTTGTCTGGGATAGGAACTGGATCATTTGGTCGTCGTCTCAGTTTCCTTGTCATAATAGGCTTCACTTCCATTGAATCTGTAGAGTAATGAAGTTGGAGAGCTGGTAAGACTAGAGGGAAAGGAGTAAGCAGCAGCAGCTTTCTACACAGGGCGCAAGGAAAACAATCTTTCCCCTTTCATACAGAAAATTGGATTTTTTCGGGGATAGCTTCCAGCATCCAAGGTGGAACTGCTGACAGTGAATACAGTTCTTTCACACTAGGTCACTGTTCAGTAACAGCCTTTGTGATGCCATGGTTACAGCTTTCATTGGCTGGAAGCAGCACAGTTGGTTTGGGGGCATTTTACAGCTCCTTCAGGTATAGATAACAAGCACAATGATGCTGCAAGGATTCAGGGCAAATTTCTTTAATGCTAATGCTATCTGCTTTCGAACAGATCATTTAAAAGGCAAAGGTCATGCAGTTCTTTGCTAACAAAACTAGTTAATAGCATGTAAAACATCAGCTACAAATCAATTGCTCTCTTTTTCTTGTCTTCAAGCTGGAAGGATAGCTTTGTCAAAGGTATACAGATACTTACTGCATTCAAGACTGATACAAGTCTGCTGGAGTAATTTTAAACACAAATATTATTTAAATTCAGATTACCTAAAAATGTTTCAAATTATGATTAATGAAATGAACCTAATTAATAACATGCAGAGCAGCAGTTGACAGGAAATAAATTATAGCATGTGCACTGGGGAAAAATTAAAAATCCATTTAAAATTGAAACACAAGTCTCATCACCAAGTAATTACCTGAAATTACAGTTTGTCCAAATGTCTACAGGTAGTCTTAACTGAACTACTTAAACTCTCACAAATCATTCCTTAATTTATGAAGATATCTTGAATTGGCAACCAAGAGACCACCTCTTAAATGCTAAACACATCACCTCATCTCTCTATGTGCTGAGAATTATTTGCTCATCTTTAAGTACACCTGAATCACATCCTAGGCAGCACTTAAGTCTATGAAGCCTCTTTGGCTCCCTCTAGATGCTAAAACCTTGAGCAGCTATGCATGTTCAAAATACACCAAATTACTTTTCTCCTTATCTCAAGGGTGAATAAGGATGACCATGCTGCACATCAAGGGAACAAATATTATGACAAAAGCTTGGGGGGGGGGGGGGGGGGGGGGGTGAGTGTATGCCAAAGGCAACCTTGTCTCTAGGATTCAAAGCTGAATTTGAAAAACACTGAACATTAATAGCCCTGCAGACACTAAAAATGTGACTTACTGTGTTGAATGTAAGCCATTCTTTACATTTATTAAGACTGATTTACAAGAGCCTCAGAAGAGGGCTTTGAAGCACTTACTCGAGGCGATATGCAGCCAAGTTGAGAAGGCTTTTTCTCCTTTTTAAAAATTAGTTTCAAATGAGTTGTCACAGAGTTATCTATGTTGCTTAAAATGTGAATAAGGCAGAGAGATCAATTTTCTTCTCTTTATCTTAGCATCCTGTATCTTAAAATTGTGACAAGTCAGCTGAAAATCAGCACCAAACAAGTGTTTGGGAAAAAAAAAAAAACAAACCCAGAGTTGAGAGTCTTACTACTGTTAAACATTTGAAGAACTAAGATTCTTGAGAGATTCACGCAAACTTAATAAAGTTTTGAAGAGCTGCTAAAGCACCAACAGTTTTAACCTGAAACACAGTCTTGCATGAGGCTTAGTAGTTAAGAACCACACTATACAATGCTCCAGAACAGGAGGCAACTATTGCGACCTAATGAAACTCCAACACTCACAGACCAGCCTATTCATCAGGTTGCTACCTTGCATCCTTGTATACACTGAACTTCTATAGGTTTTAAAAACCATCGAGTCCACATCAGTTCCAGTATTCTTATTTCTTAGCCTCCACCACATGTTCACAACAAAACCCATTACTTCTAAAGAAATCAACACTGCATTTCTGCTAGTCTGGAAGGAAGGAGATAAGGGAGGGCTAACACACACAGAATGGATCTCTTCTCCACAGTTACTTATATGCCTTTTCCTAGAGTTGTATTTGATGAAACAGCTCATCTCTTCAGGACACACAACAATAGGGGAACACATTTCCCTGAAGAGGATTAATCTGGTCCCCAAATCAGACTACTAAATACTTCTTTTTACCCTTCTTCACTCTCCCTTTAACACTGCAAATCCAAATCCTGATGTTAACAGCTGTCCCACTGATAAGAGAACTTGGATTCCTTCAGACTCCTAGAACACTGATATGCAGATTTCTAAAGGTTAAGATCTCGTCAGATCCTGATCCACTAATGAGAATCTGCTTACAAGATTAGTACTGTATCCCAACTTAGTAGTGGACAGAAACAGGTATAGGATAACAATAGAAAAGTTAAGGCTAAGGCACAGTCTGTAAGATCAGACTAGACTTCATAATTAAAAAAAAGAGGTCAGGGAAACAGCATAGCTCAAGCTGTTTTCCAGACCAGATTAGCCTTAACAGTTTGTACAAAGCCAAGAGCACTCCTGAATATGTCCAAACAGGTTTTAATTCTCACTTCTGAACACTAATTAAATGATTAGCTTACATAACTTCTGTAGGTACTATGCAAGAAAAGATTCAAAAGGTGTAACTCGTGCACAGGCCTCAGCAATCAACATCACCTGTCCACCAAGTGAGGGAATTGCTCTTAAGATGAGAATCAAATCAGACTTTTGGTTCAGTATCACAGCAACACAATTTGCGGAGGAGGCTAGTTACCCCTCTACTTAGCTCCACTGTGTCAATTACTGCAAAGAGCACCGCCAAGGCACCAAGGGTAACAACTGGTCTTATGAAAGAAGTCTGTCCGTTTAATGTCCATTTTCTAGAGTCTGGACACAAACGTAGCTCACAAATCTATTTTTCTGGCTTTAAGTAGACTATTTCAACATTTATTGTTTGCCTTTCTTCAACTGCTTGACCACCTATTACTGGAGAAAAAAAATGACACAGTTTACAACTCGGCACTGCCGGTTAGGTCAATATTGTGGCATATCTCAATAGCTTTATTGCCAGATCACAGGAACTAAAGAAGCCCCTTTCAATCCACTCTGCTGCTTCACTGGCACTATTTCGATTCACCTGTTGGTAATTCAGGTCACTGAATTTTATTACGAACTGCTTTCTCCGTTAAAAGACCACCAATTTGTGTTCTACATCTGTTGGCGTTTGGAAAGCTTTAAAGCCTTCACACTAGCTGTCTGTATAAACCAGCATTGCTACCTTTATCTCTTTTTTCCTAAGCAGTAGCAGAGTGGATAAGAGAAATGACAGATGCCTATCTTGTTTTTACCTCCTGTTAATTCCATGGTTAGCTTTTCATTCTCAATCATCTTCTTTTTCTCTTCCAACTCTGCAATCAAATTTTCCTTAAGCTCAATTTTCTTATCTTCAAACTCCTTTGCTGCTGCCTTCTTTTCCTTGACATAATTTTTTTCCACCTGATCTGTCTAATGCAAACCAAAAGAACAAAAAGGTTAACTAAGGAACCAATGACTCAATGATACCACAACAGCTTCTTTCAACTGCTGTATTGATTAGCTTTTCAGTTCAAAACTGTAGCCAGTTCTAAAGATTATCAATATTCTAATCAACAGAAAACCATGTGCGTGACTAAGTAAGCAGTAGTATATTGGCAAAAGAATTAATTAGTTTTAAAAAACATTTTAATGTTGCATACCATATCAAGTCTCTAGCAGAGAGCTCTTCAGATTTATAAACAGAACCATCACTTACCACCTTAAACAAGCTTTTTAAACAAGCCAAATACACAGCCAGCATACAGCAGCCCAAGAGCAAATATTTCTTTTAATTCTATTTTAATGACAAAGTCCAGAAGTTACTTGAAGTAATACCAAGTAGGCTGTAATAATGCTAGCTAGAGGAAGAAAATTTCTTTAAGCCTTCTGGGAAAACAAGCACAAGTACTACTTGATGAAACAGGAGGCTTATACCTCTTCCATCTAGTTAATACATATTTTGATAAATTAAGAGTACTTACTTCCAGCTGGAGGAACAGTTCTGAAAGAGAAGAAAGACTTAATTTATTATCTTCAAAGATACACAAAATGAATTCCCTAACATTTTAAGACATTGAATATTGCAGCCAAGAGAGGCAGTGAACTAAATAGTGTACATACTCAGCCCAACTCTACTCTCACTTTGCAGTTTTACGCTGAAAATACAGTAACTATGAAAAAATTCCACAAAAATATATTAATTGAAGTTTTCTACAGATTTTTCAAGCAGATCTGCAAAGCTTACACAACAGTATTCCATGCTATTCAGTTCAGCTACTATTCCCAGCAGTACTAAGCATGTAGTCCATTTTTCTTCCAGTTTAATTACAATCAATTAATAGTAGATGCAAACAGACAGAAGCTTGAAACACGTAGCTGGATGTATAGCTGGCAAAAATTCAAAGTTTAAGCCATCTTCATGAATTTCAGCAATGACTGTTTCATAAATAATTCTGCAGCTGTTAGAAGATTCCTCTACTCAGCTCACATGTGTCTGATTTCAGGCTGCTTATGCCCAAGAAAAAAAGTAAGGAAATTGTTATGTATCACTGAAGGTTAGGTTCTAACACATGGCAATGATTAGTTCAAGTCAGACCTATGGATGAGGCAAATGTATTTCTGGGTGTGAAGCAGTCCTGCTAGTGATGTTTGTGCAATTCCTAACAACTGAAATTAAGCAGGATGGGACCCTTCTTGTGTTTCCTGGAGGACATAATGCCCAAAATGAAGTTTTTACTCAAGTTAGTGGCAAGAAAAGCCAACTAAGGCACCTGATCAGTCCTCAAGTCACCATATTTCACCAGCATATTAAGCTTTGGCAACACCTGAAATAGTAAAAAGTTCTGTAAAGATCACAAGCTTCAAATATGTCTCGAGGAAGACTGCAGTAGCAACACTGTACTACTGTGCCTTTAAAAAAAAAATATTAAAAAACCCCAACAAAATAGAAACCAAAGATGATAATGGCCCAATAAAAATCAACCCTTTTGTTTGCAAAGGGCTCTACCAATTGAGCATGGAAGCAGTATTACATAATCAAATACAGGTAAATCTAAACTGTTGCTTTAGTATCTGTGAATTCTCAACCCCCCCCCCCCCCCCACAC